GACGTAACACTCTACGCTCTACGTGTGTTTTTTAGAGGTCAAGGTACAAGATACTTTTTTCACATCTCAGCACATGCTGAATTCCGTACGCCGCAGGGCTCCGTCCTCCGTGCGGGATAAAGCCGTATTGCGTATATCTCCCTGGACCCTGCATGTGACGGATGTGTGCTGACCTGTGAGCTGTGTCATACCCTGATCGCTACGGTTTCTCAGCTCTCCGCGACGCGGAGCGCGTGCATCGCGCCCTTCAGCTCCGCCACCTGGTCGAGCGCGTCGCCGAGCAGCCCCTTGGCCACGCCAAAGTCGCGCAGCTGCTCCACGCCGCCGCTCGCCCGCACCTCGGCGGCGTGGTCGGCCACGAAGCGGCGGCACTGCGCGAGGAGCCGCCCGTCGCCCAGCGTGTGCGCCGCCTCGAGCAGCGGCACGGCGGTCGCCGGCGCGACGCTCTCCTGCAGCGCCTGCGCGCAGAGCAGCTCGAGGCGCGGCACCTGGTACATCTGCGCCAGCTCCCGCAGGTCGAGCGCGCGCTGCGCCCTGTTGCCCTCCTCCTCGCCGAGGTCGAACTTGTCGGAGAGGAGGTAGTCGATGAGGGCGGTGAAGCTGGCGGGGTCGATATGGGGCACCGTGACCTCGGCGGCGTCGCGCTCCTTCATGCCGATGCCAAACATGGTCCGAAAGACCGGGGACCGGGCGCAGAGGACGGCCTTGGTGACGTGCTCGACGCGCTCCTCGTCGTCGCCGACCAGGAAGGTGACCATGCCCTGCGGGAGGGTGGCGTCGCCCCGCGTCTTTGCGAGGTCGGCTCCAAGGGTCGAAGGCGGAACGACGATCGGGGCAAAGGAGGGAGGCGGAGGAGGCGCCGCCACGCAGACCTGGCGGAGGCCACCGTACGAACCGACCAACAGCGTGCTGCCGTCTGGGCTGAGGGCGACTTCAGTTGGGTCGTAGAACTCCGCCGCGTCGCCCACGCCATCCGCGTCGCCATCCTCGCCGCTGCCCGCGATCGTTGTCACAGCGCCTGTCGCCACCTCCACCCGCCGGATCTTGTCGTTGTCGAGGTCCGCCACAAACAGCGCGCTGCCGTCTGGGCTGATGGCGATGCCACGTGGGTTGTAGAACTCCGCCGCGTCGCCCACGCCATCCACGTCGCCAGCCCCGCCGCTGCCCGCGATCGTCGTCACCTCGCCAGTCGCCACCTCCACCCGCCGGATCTTGTTGCTGCTGCAGTCCGCCACAAACAGCGCGCTCCCGTCTGGGCTGATGGCGATGCCGTTTGGGTTGCAGAACTCCGCCGCTTCGGCCACACCATCCGCGTCGCCATCTCCGCCGCCTCCAGCGAGCGTGGTCACAGCGCCAGTCGCCACCTCGACCCGCCGGATCTTGTGGTTGCTGAAGTCCGCCACAAACAGCGTGCTGCCGTCTGGGCTCATAGTGATGCCACTTGGGTAGGCGAACTGCGCCGCTTCGCCCACGCCATCGGCGCTGCCCTGTATGCCGCTGCCTGCGAGCGTCGTCACAGCGCCAGTCGCCACCTCAATTCGCCGGATGTCGTGGCGGCTGTCGTCCGCCACAAAGAGCGCGCTCCGGTTGGGGCTGGCGGCAGCGGCGTAGCAGGCGGCACTTGCTGGCAAGGCTGCCACGCGGCGCACGCGCCCGGCCGCTGAGACGTGCAGCAGCGAGTCCTCGGTCACGACGAACCAGGCGCCCGCGTGGTCGCTCGCGACGCCAACCTGACTGAGCGATGCCAAAGGCCCGTCTTCCCCCTCGAGCGTGAGCGTGGTGACCTGTCCGAGGATGCGCACGCCAAAGATGGGCGCCTCGAAGCCATCCGCGACCGGCACGGGCTCGTCGACCTCCTCGCCGCCGCCGCCGGTGCGGGCGCGCTTGCGGGCGGCAGACGCCATGCACGTGAGTCTGTCAGTAAGCGCGGGTTAGCCGTGGGTTCCACCGGGTTAAGCCACACTAACCCAGCACGGGTCAGCACGGGTTAGAACGGGTTACCATAACCCGACGCTAACCCGCGCTTACCGATACGCGATAGACTCACTCCATACACGCTCAACTTACCGATAACGGCGTTGCCGCGGAGAGCACCAAGGGGCAAGGTGCAGCCAAGCCGTCCGAGGGAGAGACTAACCCGGGTTAGCGCCGGGTTAGTCTCGGGTTACCATAACCCATGCTGACGTATGCCCCCCAGCCGCATGGGTTAGTGCCGGGTTAGTGCCGGGTTAGTGCCGGGTTAGTGCCGGGTTAGTGCCGGGTTATGGTAACCCATTCTGACCCGTGCTAACCCGTGCCGGGTTAGTGAGCACTAACCCGCGCTAACCCGCGCTTAGCGAAAGACTCACATGCACGCGCAACGGCGAGGGCTGGATTTGGGACAAGGGTTGGGTAGGGTATCGATCCTCGAAAATCAATCTCTCTTCTCTCTACTGACGTACGAACGTACGAACGTACCGGGAAATCAACACGGTGTCGCGCACACCGCTATCACCGGTGCCAAGCGGCAAGCGATCGCAAGGCGCGGGGCGCTGCCACCCCTCGCCACCCAGCGCAGCAGCGGCCAGCGCAGCGGCCGCCGGCGCAGCAGCCAGAGCAGCCGGTGCGCGCCTTGCGAGGCGAGTACTGCCGCCCGGCAGCCTTGAGGCGGCCAGGCGGCAGTACTCGTTCGAACTTTGCGAGCCGTGCGCGCGCCGAGGCGCGCGCGGCGCGCGCCCGCCCGGCTGCCAGTAGGAGGCGGCGCAATATGGCCATAGTACAGCCCTTGAGGAGGAGGAAGAGGCTGGCTGGCAGTGCTGTATGCCGCCGAGGGAGGAGTTTTGGGGTGCTGTCACGGGCCCAGGGGGGTGCACAACGCGTCCGCAACCGGGACAACCCGCCCCCCCCCGCCGAGGCCGGTCGAAGCCCACACTTGCAAGCAGCCATGAGGAGTCCTCTTGGTGCTCCTGGCGGCCGTTCAAAGCTCGGGCGCGCGCCGAGGGGGGGGGGGGGGGGGTCTTGCTTGCTCCACATCGAGCGCTGTCGGTCCGGACCGGTGCTTGCACCGAGGGGAGGCCTGCACAAGGTCTGAGCCGCGGCCGCTCGGCGCCAAGCCGGCACCAACTTGATTCGTAGATCGGCGTCTCACGGCCGGGCCGCGGGGCGGGGAGGGAGGGGGGTCGATCCGTAAATCCGTAATTCCGTAAATGTGTAACAAGTAACCACCAGAGTCTCCCCCACCGCACCCAGGCACCCAGCTACCAGGCAGATAGAGACACAGCACTCGCGACACGCTGAGAAGCCGGAGGCTGGCCTCTCCAACGCTCGCGCAACGCTCGTCTGCACGCGCCGCCGCGCAGCTCTCTGGGGTCCGCGGGCGGCCCAGGCCACACGGTGGGAGGGTCGACGACCGTGCGACTGTAAAGCTCCGTATGTATTTCTTAACAATCACTATATTCGTGCTTGCCGAGCTGCGCCTCTGCGAGTGCGACTATCAACCCCTCACGCGTGTGCATAATCCCCTCCATCTTGTTGTGCAGCGCCTTGACCTCTCCGCCTCACTGCGGCATCAGCGCGCCTCGCCTCTGCCTCCATCGAAATCTGCAGCGCGTCGAGCTGCAGACTGCAGTGTCACGCTCGCGCGCGCGTGACAAACTGGCAATTCTCGTTTCCTATTCACTTGGTCCCCCAACGGAAGAGGCCTCGCTCCTATTGGAACACTCCAACATCAGGTCCCTTTTTGAGGCGGCAAGCTTTTTTCTTTTGGGTCCTGTGGGGGCACGACCCTATATCCCTATGCCTAGGCTGGCCGATTTTTTTCGCGGTATCCGCGGCGGGATATGGCGGGATATGGCGGGATATGGCGGGATATGGCGGGATACCGGGAGATACACGCGGATATGTATGATGAGATACGGAGCCCCCAAGATGTGTTCACGACAACGTCCGTCAAGCGTGAAACCGCAAATCGGACGCATTCGCGCTTCGACGGCCGCTTGTCGAGCGCTTGTCGATTCCCATGATTCACGATATACAGAAAATTTCCGCTTGAGCTAGCAGGGACCAGGGATCCGTCGCGCTCTGCGGCCGGAGCGCGGAGAGAGGCCGGGGGCTGCTCGGCGTGAGGCGGGCAGGATACGGCGGGATATGGCGGGATATGGCGGGATATGGCGGGATATGGCGGGATACGGTCAGATATGAGAGATACATCAAGATACCGCAAAAAAATCGGCCAGACTACGGGGTGTGGACCCTGAGTTGACCAGGGGTTGTGCGCCGGGCCCTCCTGCTCGGCTCCAGCGAGTAGACAAGTGTTGTCATCAACAGAGTAGAAGGATCTGACCTCGGGGCCGATGTGACCAAGCGCCGGTAGCGTGCTTTCACCTCACACCCACGGTCTCACAGTGTGCCGGCAGTCGCCAAGCAGTGTCGCTCACACAAGCCGCAGCACAAGTGACTGAGGGCCAGTGAGGGCGAGCCCATCGCTGTGACAGCTGTGGCAGCCGCACAGTAGGCTGTGTCAACTGTGCAGAGTGTGTGAGCAGCAGAGGAGCTGCTCTCCAGGCTTCTGTCGCAAAGAGCTGCATGCCACCGAAAGCGCTGTCGAGGTTCGCCGAGCGCGGCGAAATCGGGGGACACCGTCACCGACGAGCGCGTAGTGATATTCACTCCGGACAAGGACGGCCACACGCACACGAGCTGCGGTCGTGTGGCCGTCATAGTGGCGAGGCACGGGACCGTCTGTGGCGAGGTGGGTCGCGTCCCTCGATTTCCTCAACTCACGGTCCGCTCCCTCTAGGCCTATCCCTATAAATTTAACCGTATTGCGTATAAAGTCCACCGCGGGTATTTCGTGTGTGGGCCGAGATTTATCCGATTTTTGTCAGATTTTGCCTCAGAAGTCGTGGTAAACCTTACCACCGTTTGATTGTTTTGGCCGTAGAGTGTTTGATTGTTCTGGGGGGCTATACCAGTGGAAATGCCAAGCGGCTGCGCCCCCTGCCCGCCCCGCGCCTTAGTGGTTAGTCCCGCTTGGGACGGGCCGCCGCCGCCGGCCCGGCTGCGGCCACGGCCGGCTGCGGCTGCGTCAGAGCGCGCGAGAGGTCGGTGACTGGCAGCGCGAGGCAGAGGGCGAACTGGACTGTCGGCATCAGACCTATCGCCGCCGAAGGAGCCGTGAGCATGAGCCCCGGCGGGGAGTGGTGGGCGGCATCTGTGCCGTTGAGTGCGAAGAATGCGCCGAGCATGGCGATCCCGAAGAGGAGGAGCACGTGCGGCCGCCGCAGCACGAGCGAGAGCACGCAACCAAACACGACGCACCACGAGCCCGCCGCGAGCAGCTCCTGGTGATCAAACGACTTGTACGCGGAGGTGCGAGCCGTCGCCAGCTCGAGCGAGCGCTCCCAGAGGTCGGCCGTGTCGAGCGGCGGCCCGTCGGCCACCACCGGAGCGGAGGAGAGCGCCGCGCGGAGCAGGTTGCCTGGGAAGAGCACCGCCCGCAGCGCCGTCTTGGCGCTGTCGCCGAGCGGCTGGTCCTGGTTCTCGCGCAGCGTGGTGGCGATCACCTGCAGCGGCGAGATGGCGCCGCCCGAGGGGGCGAACGCAAGCGGGCTCTGCGTGAGGATAAAGAGGAGCGGCAGGAGGAGGGTGAAGAGACCCATCACACAGTTTGGGCCTGCCCGCGCCCGAGCCTGGAGGAGCCCGAAAGAATTTAAAGGCGGCCTCACAGCAGACAGGCCCGAAAAGATCCCTTGGGTTGTCTGTTTTCTTTCTTTCTTTTAGGCCCGAAAAGAATTCCCGCGGGGCATGCCGGAGTGCAGTGCATCCTTTACTCACTCACAGGCCAGGGCCCACGCGAATACAGTAACGCGTCTAACGGGGCGCCGCCCTCTCAGCGGCGCAGCGCTGGCCGCTGCGCCGTGCGCGAGAGCCGTCGCGGTGGCGCGGAGACGAGAGCTCACGAGACGAGAGACGCGGACTAGACGAGCGACGGACGCCTCGACGGCGGGGGCGGCGAGGCACGCGGCGGCGCGACGGCAGGAGCGCGGCGCGCGGAGAGACGAGGCGAGAGCGGTGCGCAGTGCCCCGGAAGGGCCGACGAGAGTCCGCCGAGGCTGGGCCGAGATCGGAGATCGCCGGCCCCTAGGGGGGGGGGAGCAGCGCACGGGGGTGCCGGGAGGGGGAGAGGCAGCATGCGGGGAGTGGGGAGAAGCGAGAGACCTTCGGCGCGGGGGGGGGCGAGAGCGCGCGAAGGTGCGAGCGAGTGCGACGCAGGTTCGAGCGAGGCGCGACAGCGGCGGCCGACCGTCGCTGCCCGAGGCGCCAAAGGATGCGGCGGCGCTCCCGACGGCGGCGGCGCCAGCGGAGGAGGGAGGGAGGGGGGCGGCGCCCATCCGCGCCCCCCCCCTGCGGCGCGCTCAGTCGCGGTCGTCGTCCGAGCCCTTGTCCTTGTCCCTCTTCTTGTCCTTCTTCTTGTCCTTCTTCTTCTCGTAGTACGAGTCCGAGTCCGAGTCGCCGCGCCGGTCGTCCTCCTCCTCCTTGCGCGACGACTTTTTGTCCTTCTTCGAGCTCTTGCGGTCGCGCGAGTCGGAGCGGTCCTTCTTGCTCTTGCGCTCCCGCGACTCGGACTCGTCCGAGTAGTCGCGCCGCTTGCTCGACTTCTTCTTGGACCGCCGGCGCGAGCCCGAGTCCGAGTCGTCGTCATAACGCGACGAGCGGCGGTCCCGGTCGCGCCGCCGGTCGCGAGAGCGAGAGCGCGACGGAGAGCGCCGATCGCGCCGCGGGGAGGGCGAGCGCCGACCGCCGCCGCCACCGTAGCCGCCACCGTAGCCGCCGCCGCCGCCGTAGCCGCCCTCCCGCCCCCCCGAGGGCCCCGCCTGCCGCCCGCCCTGGTTGCGCGCCATCTCAATCTTGACGCGGCCGAGCCGGCCTGCGTGCGCAGGCGCACAGATGGGGTCGGGAAGCGGCGCGCGGGGGGTGGGGGCCGCGCTGCGCGCTGGGGTCGCGGAGCCGCACCGTTCCCGCCCGAGAGGTCGTTCATCATGTCTTGCGCATCGCGGTCGTCCTCAAAGGTGATGAACGCAAAGCCGGGCGGGTTGCGCGCGACCCAGACGTCGACGAGCTTGCCGAAGCGACCCACCTCGTCCGTGATCTCCTCCTTGGAGATGCTCGGGTCAAGGTTCCCCAGGTAGACGCGCTGCACCTGCGCCGCGTCGGTGCGATGCTGTGGCGGCGGCGCCGCGGCGCAGAGCGGGCGGCGCTGTCGGGTCGGCCGATGTGACGCGCCCGGGGCGCGCAGGGGGGCGGGCGCGGTCGGCGGCGTTATGGCTGTTGGGGGGCGGGCGCGGCGGCGGGGGCGGGGCCCGGGGCACCATGGTGATGGGCGATGCGTCCGCGTTTTTCTTTCTTTTGCAAACGAGGTGGAGGTCCCTCCGACCGGGAGAAAGAAATTGTAGCTGTACTCATCGACGCCCACGGCTGCACACGACTGTGGGTGTGCCGCTGCCCCGCCCACGCACGGAGACCGCGGAGAGGTCCAGCGCCGCACGTCAGCCGTGATCACACCCTTCTCCCACGACACGGCTCGGCTGAGCCTCTTGGCGTGCCCACGCGCACGTACACAAGCGCACTGCGTGTACTCTCCAGTGGGCCGAGAAAGATGGGAGGGGGGAGTGGAGGCCTTCCTCACCCGGCCACACCACCACGCCCAGGCGACAAGGCAAAGATCGGTGCACGGGTGTGAGCAGACACACACATGAGCCCCTCGTGGCTTGTCCTCGCTGCGGCTGCCGTGGCCGTGCGGCTCGCGCCCGCCCCGAGCCCGGCCAGCGCCGTCGCACGCGCCGCGGCGTCGCGCCCTCGCTCCGCGCTGGTGGCCCAGGTCTCCTCGGCTGCGCTCCTCAAGCAGTCCGAGGTGCTCGAGCTGCTGAGCGAGGCTGCAGACCCGCAGCTCGCTCCGCCGGGCACCGCGGCGGCCGGCGCCACCGACAGTCCGCCCGACATCGTCTCGCTCGGGCTGGTGCGCGCGGTGCGCATCGGCGACGACAGCGCCTCCGTCACCGTCCAGGTCGAGCTGCCGCGAGAGGCGGCGGAGGCGGGCGCCGAGGGGCGCCTCCGAGAGGTGTGCACGCAGCTGCTGCGGGAGGGACTGCCGTGGGCGGCGGAGGTGGAGCTCCGCTTTGACATCGCGCCGCCGCCGCCGCCTCCCCCGCCGCCACCGCCGCCGCCGCCGCAGCTCGGCGATCGTGCCGACGCGGCGGACGACGCGGCGGACGCCATTCGCGAGATGCGGAGCGAGTCTGGCGCCGAGGCGGGCGTGGGGTCGGTGGGCAAGATCGTGGCTGTGGCGAGCTGCAAGGGCGGGGTGGGCAAGTCGACGACGGCGGTCAACCTCGCCTGCGCCCTCGCCGCCGCGGGGCGGAGGGTCGGCCTCGTCGACGTCGACGTGCACGGGCCCAGCCTGCCGACCATGGTACGGGCGGAGGGGGAGCTGCAGGCGCGAGAAGTAGAGCTAGCCGAGAGGTGGGCGGGAGGGCCGGGAGGTGGGCGGGAGGTGGGCGGGAGGTGGGCGGGAGGTGGGCGGGAGGTGGGGCGAGGTGACGAGTTGTCTCTTGGATCGCCTGCTGCAGGTCGACGGGGAGCTGCTGGTGCCGCTCGAGGCACACGGGCTGAAGCTCATGTCGATGGGCTTCATCAACCCGGGGGCGCTGCCGCTGCGCGGCGCAAAGGTGACTCCGATCGTGCAGCAGCTGATTGGGCGCACGGCTTGGGGCGAGCTCGACTATCTGATCGTCGACATGCCGCCCGGCACCGGCGATGTGCAGCTGACGCTCAGCCAGGACTTTGAGGTGAGCGCGGCGGTGCTGGTGACGACGCCGCAGCGGCTCTCGTTTGTGGACGTGGTCAAGGGGGTGGAGATGTTTGACAAGGTGTGGCAGCGGCGCCGCGGCCCTCTCCTTCCCCTCTCCCTCTCCACACGCCCAAGACTGCTCCCTCTCCTCACGAGCGGAGCCAAGAGGAGAGGCGTCAGAGGGCCTCAGAGGGCGTCAGAGGGCCTCGCCCCTCCGCACACGCTCCCGCACACACGTCGGCCTCCCCACCGTAGCTCCCGCGCACAGGTCGGCATCCCCACAGTGGCTGTGATGGAGAACATGGCGGGCTTGCGCCTCGACGCGGCGAGCGAGCGGCTCGAGGCGATCGGCGCAGCGCACAGCCTGCCGCCAGCCGCCATGCGGGAGCTGCGCGAGCTGCTTCGCGAAGAGCAGCCCGTCTTTGGCGAGATCCAGCCGAGATCCAGCCGAGATCCAGCCGAGATCCAGCCGAGATCCAGCCGAGAGCGAGTCGAGATCCAGCGAAGAGCAGCCTGTCAGTCGCGCGCCGCTGCCGCGTTTGCGAGCGAGGAGTGGCGCGGGCGGCGCCGCGACGCTGAGACGACCGTCTGCAGGCGCGTCGCATGTGCAGCGGCTGCGCGACATGTGGGGCATCAACGCGTCCTTCTCGCTGCCGCTGCTGCCCGAGCTCGCGCGCGCCGCGGACGCGGGCGTGCCCTCCTTCGTCTCCCAGCCCGAGGGCGAGGCGGCGGGCGTGTACCGCCAGCTCGCCGCCGCGCTGGAGGGCGAGCTCGAGCGGCTCGACGCGGCGCCGCGGCCAGAGATCCTAGAAGCGGAACACGTATTCATGTCTCCCAACCAGCGCCCGAGAGGACACGTATTCCGCTGTACTCGGCCGTACTCCGCTGTATTCACTGTCTTCCTCTCCGTTGTATTCACGCGGTGCTCTGAGTACGCTGCACAATACCGCCTTCCCGCCCTGATGTTGGTGTATTCAGCGCGTAGGCCAGAGATCCTCTACTTGCCTGTCGAGCGGCGGATCGTCATCGCGCTCGCCGACGGCACGCAGCAGTCAATCACGCCGCTCGAGCTGCGCCGTCTCTGCCGCTCGCCGGCCAACCGGCCCGACGCGCTGCCCGCCGACGTTGAGCCCCTCGATTTTGTGCCGACGGGCAACTATGCCGTGTCGGTCCGCTGGTCGGACGGCCACCAGTCGCTGCTGCCGTACGCCTCGTTCGTGCGCGGCGTGTGAGCTGAGCGGTGTGTCTGTATGACCACCCCGACCGAACACCGGGGAAAGAAAAAAGACTGCGGTACACTCAACTTGGAGCACTTGGAGTGCAGTTAGTAACCTCACATCCAGGACCGGGGAGCTAAGAAGCGCACCCAGTTTGCCGGACGAAAATACGCTTTTCTCAAAGGAGCAAAACGGCGCGCGGCGAGAGACAAGTAGACACGAGTGGGCACCCGGTTCTGTGCGCACCCGGGCGCTGCTGCGTTTTGGGCACCTCCACTGCATGGGCTGCTGCGGTCTCGCGCCAAAGAGGACGAAGTATCGAACTATAATCAGACCGACAGCAAGCAGCCGTCTGGCAAGCCCGTGCTAGAGCCCAGCTTCTCAGACCTACCTTCGGTTCCGACGACGACTGTACCGACGTCTACTGCCGAAATGACGATGCTGTTTCCTGACGCGCCAACTTCTCCGATACGCAGAGACTTCTCACCACCACACTTCCCAAGCGTCCCGGTAAACACTGCGGATTGTGAAGTTCCGGCCTTCCCAGCGGCTCCTTCGACGCCGGTGTTAGTAGCCAGCACATAGTTTACGTGACGGCTGCAGGGTGTAAGGCATGAGGGGGTGTGCCGGGCGGCTCGGCGTCTCACACGCGCGCAATTCACTGAGGCGTGAGAGGGAGGAGACCGCCCCGTCACACCGCGGGGAGACATTTTTCGATTTCACACACACGTCTCGGACCGTAACTCATCACAAATCAATTATAAAAAACTGCCGCATCAACCGCGCGCCACAGACAGCCTCGACATCGGGACCGGGTGCGGTTTGCGTGGCGCGCGCCTCAATCGTCGTCGCCAAAGACAATCTTCGTGGCCGCCTTCATCGGCTGGCCCTCCTTTGGCCCAAAGGCGCCGTATAGCTTGTGCTCCTTCTTCTTTACCGTCGAGCCGAACTTGGTGAGGGCGTCGGGCACCGGCTGTGACGCCTCGCGCAATATGTTTTGCAGCGCGCCGGCGTGCGCCTTGTCAAAGGAGGTGAAGAAGGTGTGCGCGTGGCCGGTGCGTCCGCCGCGGCCGGTGCGGCCGATGCGGTGGACGTAGTCCTCGATGGTGAGTGGGAAGGTGTAGTTGATGACCACCTCCACCAGAGGGATGTCAAGCCCGCGCGCCGCCACGTCGGTCGCGACGAGCAGCGGCACCTTGCCACTCTTGAACTGCTCGAGCGAGGCGGTGCGCGCCGCCTGGGACATGTCGCCCTGGATGCAGACGCACTGGAGGCCGGCGGAGCGGAGCATCGACTGCGGTGGCGTGGAGCGGCGGGGCGAAGTGAGGCAGGCTGGTGTGCGCGCGAGGTAGGTTATTTTTAGGCAGGGGGGCTGGAGGGCGGGGGAGAGGCGGAGGCGCGGTTAGGCGCGGTTTGGCTTGCGGCAGGAGAGAGGGAGAGCATGTGAGAGAGGGAGAGAGGGGGGGGGAGGAAGGGAGGGGGAGGGGCCTCAGATCCGCAGCTCTGCATGTGCTCCACATTCGTCTCTCTCGGTAGGAATCACGAACGATTTGCAGACTCATCCTCGGCCGTGTGTGCGCGGTGCTGCCGCTGCAGGCGGGGGGGTTTGGGGGGGCTTTGCAGCTTTGTGTGCTCACCGCCTCTGGCCAGGTGGCGGTGAACATGACGGTGCGGCGGGAGGCTGGCGTGGCGCCGATGATGGTGCGGACGTCCTTCTCGAAGCCCATGTCGAGCATCCGGTCCGCCTGCTCACACCTCCTGCTGTGAACAGCGTCTCTTCACACCTCCTGCTGTGAACACGTCGAGCATTCGGTCCGCCCGGAGGGGACAGGGGGGCGACGGGGTGGGGTGGGGTGGGGTAAGGGGGGTGGGGAGGCGAGCAGCGGGCAGCGGCAGCGGGCGGCGGGGCGGCGGGGCGTCTGGTGTGATCTCGCCGCCATTTAAAACCGACGGCGGGGGGGCGGTGAGCCCGCGCGGCGGCAGTTATTGGCGGGCGGTGCTGTGCGCGCCCTAGTCACCGCAAACCGCACGGGGGGGGCGGCAGGCGGTGCTTGAGGGCGCGAGGGCGGTGCTTGAGAGGGAGGGGGCCAGCCTCTCTCGGCCTCTCTCGGCCTCTCTCGGCCTCTCTCGGCCTCTCTCGGCCGGGTCTCGTCTCGGCCTCGCCTCCAGGACGAGGTGTTCCCCATATCTCCCCATCTCTCCCCATCTCTCCCCATCTCTCGGCCTCGCCTCGTCCAGCACGAGGTACTCGAGCCGAGACAGGTCGACCGCTCCGTCGTTCTGGTACAGGTCGAGCAGCCGGCCGGGCGTGGCGATCACCACCTGCGCACCCCGCTTGAGCGCGCCGGTCTGCGGGCCCTTTGGCACGCCGCCGTAGATGCACACCTGCGACGGGCGGCGTGAGCGGCGTCGGCAGCGGCGCCCACACGCCCCAGGCCGGCGGCGGAGGGAGGAAGGGAGCGGCTGCCGAGGAGTGGGGCGGGCGAGGGGTCTGCCGGGGGTCTGCGCGGTCCGCCGCCTCTCCGGTGGGCCGCGGCGCACCGAGGCGATGCCGCACGCCTTGCCCGCGGCGGCGCACACCTCCTCCGTCTGCATGGCGAGCTCGCGCGTCGGTTCAAGACACAGCATCCGCACGGAGGGCGCGCCGCCGCCGCCAGCCTTGCCCGCCGCCGCCTGCAGCAGGCTGACCGCAGGGAGGAAGAAGGCGAGCGTCTTTCCGGACCCCGTCTCGGCGACGCCGACCACGTCGCGGCCTGCGGCGATCACGGGCCAGCACACCGCCTGAATAGGCGTCGGCCGCTCGAACTTTGCGACCGCCGCGAGCGCGTCCGCCCCAAAGCCCGAGTCGGCAAAGCCGGCGAGCGGGCGAAAGGCGTCGGCGCCGCGGCCGGTGAGGGCGACGCTGTTCTGCTCGCAGTACGCCGCCGCCGCCGCCGCGTCCATCATGCGCACGGCTCCCGCGCCGCCACTGCTGCTGCCGGCCGCCGCCTTGCCGCCTGCCGCCGCCGCCTTCTTGGCCTTCTTGGCCGACGGCTCGGGCGCGGCCTTGTCACCCTTCCGCTTGGCCGCGGCGGACGCCTGCGCCGGAGCGGGCGCCGCCCCGGCGAGCGAAACCGTGCCGTCCGCCGCCGTCGCAAAGAGCGGGAGCGCAAGCTTCGCCTCGAACACCTTGGTGGCCTTCTTCTCGCTCTTGCCCGCGTCGACGAGCTGGCCAACCACGAGGGTGCGCAGCGCGTCGAGATCCTTCGGCCCGCGTTTCAAGGCCTTGCGGATCAGCTTCTTTGCGTTGGGCTCGTCCGGCATCACGCAAGCAAGCGCTGTGGGGCGTTGTGGAGCGTGGCGCGTAGCCAGCTCTGCCAGCAAAATAACGCAGCGCGCGCTGGGTGCGCTTCTCAGCTCCCCGGCCCTGGAGAGGTTACTGACTGCACTCCAAGTGCTCCAAGTGCCCCTGACGACGCGGGCGCCGATGCGGTGGGAGGCCATTGGAAGATCGCAGCGATTTTCTTTGTTCACAGCCTTGTTATGAGAAGAGACACAGACTTTGTTTTTGAGAATTTTAATATTCCTGGCGCCGATGCGGTGGATCCGGAGGATTCGCACGCAAGGGTTGTGCGGAACTGTCAGCGGCGGCTATATGGCAGGGGCCGCAAAGGCAGCGGCCAGGATCGCCGGCCGCGCCGCGCGCGCAGCCGTGCAGCCGCTGCACTAACCGGCCTCCCGTGTGGAAAACGTCTGATCACTTGAGGACAATTAGGCGAGATGGACTCGGCCGCTCTCTACGGTGCGGCGCCACCCTCGCGCCAGAGCGCGTACGTAGCGAACGTCCCAGGGGAAGCAGTAGAGCTGCATCACCGCGAAGTAGTGCGCTATGAACGAGCCGCGCTCGCAGAACCGTCCTTGTGCGATCGTGTAACTAGATTTGGACCGGAATCTGCCGCTACGCAGCAGCGCTGCGTGCCGTTTCGCCTCGAGCGCCTCGAGGAGCGCCAGCTGGCTCGCGATGCCAAATCGGTTGAGCGCCAGGTTTACTTGACAGCCCTGGCCGGCATGAGGGAGCGCGTCTGCAATGGCCCTTGCGCCCTCGTCGCCGACGTCGCACAGGTTAAGGCATAAGGCGAGTTTTCGTGGCAAGTCACCGGTCGTGAGCGCAGCAGCGACAGCCGCAGCTCCATCGTCGCCGATGGGCATCAGCGGAAAGAGGAGTCCCTTCAGCCTCGGCGCCACGCCGCGGCCGAAGACGTCGCAGAGGGAGGCGATACCGCGCGCACCAAAGTAGTTTCCTGCGAAGTTCAAAATCTCGAGCGCTGGGAGGGCCCCTGGCTTGAGACCTGCCGCCAGCTCTGCGACGCCGTCATCATCAAGGCGCGTGCCGACCACCATTAAGCTCCGGAGGCGCGCGCAGTAGTTGAGCGCCTCCGCCAGTCTCGCCGGCGAGCACCACTTGTCCCCTCGCACAAGCGGGAGACCCATGTACTCGATCTCCTCGATGGTCCCAAGCACGGCGTTTGCCGTCCTCTCGTACAAAGAGATTACTCGAGACACGTCTGCTCCGTCGGTGAAGTGGCAACGGGAGAGCAGCGTCGCCATGCGCTCCGGCGTCGTGGGAAGCCGCCGCTGCGCACCGCCCCCCTCGTCCGCCACGTCAATCACGAGCTTCCACGTCGCGGAGTGCAGAGAAAAGCACTTGGCGAGCTCGGCGGAGCAGCGCTCAAACGTAGTCCACCCGCGCGTGTGGTAGCTCCGCGTCGCGTCAAAGCCGGCCGGCAGCTCGTCGGGTAGCTGCGTGAGGAGCACGACCGTGATGGCAGAGTGCGCGTACCAGAGGTCCATCGTGCTGTTGAGCATGCGATCAAAGGCCGCCTTTTCCTCCCTGGACCGGCTCTCCTCATACGCGCGCCGCTCGGACACCATCCGCTCGCCCCCGTCGCCGCCCGCCTCTCGGATTTCGTCCTCGCCCCTCGCGTACAGTGCTCTATCCGCCATCCATGCTCTCCACAGCGCCGGATCCTTCTGGTGCCCGGAGGCCCAGTCGATGAAGACACCCTGCGCGAGCCAGGAAGGGAGTAGCGGCGAGAAGAAGGAGTGGCTGTGGGCAGGGGCAGGAGGCAGCTCACCATGTCGGTGAAGCCGTAATCGCGGCAGGCGGCGAGCAGGCCTCGCCCGCCGTGGAGGCTCTGCAGCTTGCGGCAGAGCAGCTGCAGCTGGTGGCCCTCCCGATCTGGATGCGCCGCCTCGAGCCAGCAGTACGAGATCGAGATGATCGGGAGTAGTCCGTCTGGGTTGCGCTTGCGGCGGACGACGCTCGTGAGGGTTGACAAGATGGACGAGATGCCGCCCCCCAGGCCCAATTCAGTGAAAGCGGTGATCAGTCCAAAGATGTTTAGCCTGCGCTTCGCCCCACCCTCAATCTCCTTGAGCCGAGCGACATCGAGGAAGGCCTCCTCGGGAACAGACTGCCGCCGCGGTAGCGCCTCGCCCTTGTCGGCGTGCTCCACCAACCATCTAAGGCTGAGCAGCCGTACGTCGCCCGGAAGCACTTTCTGCCCGTCTCCCTCGAGCGCCTCCCACACCGAAGCGTGGCCGCGGTAACGGTCGCCTTCGCTTGACTCCGGCCTCCTACCCGAGTAGGTGGGGCGGATGGGCCGACGCGCGCGAGCGCGAGCAGCCGACGACGCGGCTGAGGCACCCAGCCCCCCGCGCGAGTGAGCGCAGGCGGGAGCCTCTGCATCGGGCTGTGGGTTCCATGGTAGCGCTACGGGGGCTCTGAGAAGCGAATAAGCGAGTAGAGCCACCGGCTGCAGGACTATGTGCTCGAGCAAGTGTGTGCCGACAGCGATCACTGCTAACGCAATGTCAACGAGCACGGCCAGGAGCTTGACGCAGGGTGACCAGTCGACGCGAAGCCAGGTGCGGGCGTGGCTAGAGCAGGCGAGACCAAGCAGTACGATTGGAGACACGACCAAGGCGAAGATTGCTGGTGCAAGCACGATACTGAGAACGCCCGCAAGTATCGCCCCGACCAGGTTGGAGGCACGAGCCGGTGTGGAGCAACATCCGACGCCAAGCGCCGGCGAGATCGGCCGCACTGCCGCATGAGGCGGCCGAGGCGAAGGCGGCTGCTGCTGCGCCATCGGCCGACGAGGACCTGATCGCTTCTCCTTTCAGGATGTCGAGCGTGTCTCATCTCCTACCACTCCTAGGCGCCCAAGTTTTTTTTTCGACGACGAACACAGAGGCACAGTGCGCACCCCGCCCCGTTCGCAGGGCGTGCATCACACAGGTGGACTGTGTGACTCCTCGGGGTTTCTGGGGACTCTTGTGTGCTAATAATAAATAGAGCAGTTATATCTTGTGTGCTAGGTCACTGGAGATCACCGCGGGTTTCTTTCGTCTCCTCTTCGCGGCAGAGTGGCTTGACGTTGGTGTGGTTCCGCTGCCGCTGTTGGCCGCTTTGTGTATCTCGAGACCTCGAGAGAAGGCCGCCCGCAGGCCCAAGTCAAGAATTGGCTTTCTTTTGGCGGGCAACTGCCGCTGCTTGCCGCGCCGGCAGCGGTCGCCTGCAGCATGGAAGACGAGGGTTCGCTCGACGACCTGCTGACCGCTTGTGGCGACATCGATGACGAGCCAGAGGACGTTCCTCCGCCGCGGGTATTTTCAGTGTTTTTTGCTCTACTAGCAGGCTGGCTCGCTAGTCGCTCGCCGGGCCCGCGCAGCACGCGCGGGCCTATTTTTGCGGTTGATAAGGTGGCACCTTCGACATTGCGTTTCTTTTCTTTATAGGCTGTGTGTGTGTGTGTGTGTGACTCACACTTTATAGGCTGTCCTCTATTTAGGATTCCTAAGCTTAAAGGCCCGCTAAACGCGCGAGGCGGTGGCGGCGGTGGGGGGGATTGACAGGGGAGGCGGCGGGATTGACAGGGGATGGGGCGGCCACGAGCGGAGCGGCGGCGAGAGGGGGGGCGGCGGCGAGGCGCCAACGAGCGAGGAGCCCGCGCCATCAGAGGGACGCGCCGCTGCGAGATGGAGGGCGGCGGTGACGGAGGCAAGGCGCGAGGCGGCGGCGGCGGCGGCGGCGGCGAGAACGGCGGCACCGAGTTGTCTCGGTGAGCGGAGCGGCGGCAGGAGGAGGAGCAGCTCGCTGTTGAGCGCTTTTGAGCCTGGGAGCCCATGTCACTGCGACCGGCGTGCCCGGGAACAGAGATCGCGCGCGCGCCGCCACTCACGACGCGCACGCGATCTTCGCGGAGTCGGGTCCCCAGAGGGAAGCGGTCTTCTCAACCGACGTCCAGCGGCGCGGAAGGACAGGCGCAGCGGTGCACCGCGCCGCGTTGATTCGCGACCACCGTCGGCCGCGGACGGCGGCGGCGTGGCGGCCGCGGGCGCTCGTGAGACGCGCCGCTCTGCGCTGGTTCGGTTCGTTCGACTCGTTGTGCCGCCACACGCCCGGCGGCCGCGGGTCCCAGAAGTGGTTGCGCGGGCCTCTTCCTGGCGGCCGCGGGACGGCGTCGGGCACGTCGTCGGTCGCAACAGATGCGTGGCGAGCCGTGGCACGTCGTTGCTGGCGCTGGTGGTTTGAGGTCGGCATCGTCCAGAGCAAGGTGGACGAGTCGAGAGCTTCAGCTGGCCGAGGGTGCCACCTTTGTGCTCTTTGTGCACGAAATGGGAAATATATCTCTTTGATTTTTAGACCGGTGGCTGCTGCGCGCGTTCGCAGGCTACGGGTCCTCCAACCCAGCATATCGGTGGCTCTTTTTACTCTCTAGCCTCTCGCCGCCGCCGCCTCCTTGGACTCGCCATGGCGGAGGCAGCGTCCGTTGGCTTCTCGCATCTTGTGGACGAAGCCACCAACGTGACTGAGCTCCAAATCCTCGAGAAGCGCGACCCGCACTATGCAGTACGTATCAAGCGCATGGCCGAACTCAACGACGCACAGCAGGACATGGTGGCGTACTGCCTGAACAAGTCGCACTTTTTCAAGACCATGGGAGACAAGTGGAAGGTGTGGGGTGACCTACTTTATGCTACGCAAGTGACCGGGTCGGCCATCGTGCCCGTGCTCATCGGCGTCCTTGGCTCCTTTGACTCAGCCTTCATCGATGCCTGCATCCGGGTCCTCGCCATTGTGCTGAGCCTGGCGGCGGCTATCTGCGCCGCACTCGAGGGCGTGTACTCCTATCGGCTGCGCGGCCAGGTTCGCCGCGGCTTTGGTGACAACCTCAACGATTTATTCCAATCCTTTGAGACCCTCTCTGGCCCGCTCTTTGACCCAACCTGCTCCGCAAGGCGGGAGTCCAAGCCGGCCCAACGGCCCGGCGAGGGCTCCTTTGTGATGCCTGACCTGAGCCACATACCGCGTGCCGTCCTGCGCGCACAACTTGACCACCTCGACCAGCTCGACACAGCAAAAAAGAAAGAGAAGTCGCCCGATGCGTCGCCACCTCGTCCGCAGACGCACGTGGACGTGTACAGGCTCTTCGCGGCGGAGGTTGTCGCGCTGAACGCGCAGGCGCGTAAGGCCGCCTTCGTCGGGCAGGACGTGGGCGCCGGACACAGCGCTTCGGGCCAGATTGAACGGGAGGGCGAGGGGCAGACGGCGGTGACGTGATGTAGCGTGTACTGCTACTGGCCCTCAGAATATGAGATAACTTATCAAAGGAGGCGCCAAAACATCCTTCTCTGGTAAGAAAAAATCCAGAGCCCCCCCGCCCCCGCTCGCTAGGGTCGCTAGTCGCACTTTGGGGACTTCCGCAGGCCCGAGCTGGCCGCGTCGCCTTGCTCCTCCTCCGCCCCCAGCTCGCGCGCGAGGCGCCGCAGCTCGAAGCCCGCCGGCGTGCCCATGTCGCGAGGCACGCACATGCGGCCGACGAGGTGCGAGGCGAGCGAGGCGGCGAGGCCGCCGCCTCCGGCCTTGCCCTCCTCGTCGCCGAGGAGGCACCCGACCACTGTCCGGAGGCCCTCGTCCACCTGGTCTGCCGTGTACGGAGCCTTGGACGCGCCGTGCCCCCCTGCGCCCATCTTTCGCGCGAGCGCGTCCGCCGCGATGGCCGCCCGGTTGCTCACGATGCGCGCCGCGGCCTCCTCGGCCGGCGACGGCGCCACGTGCGGCCGGTGGCCCGCGTACGCCTCCCACAAATCGACGGCGCCCGCGCCGGTGCTCTGGCGGTAGCCGGTGGTTTGCGGCGCGTTGCCGGCGTTGCCGTAGCCCTGCATCGTCAGCACACGGCCCCACGACTCGCCGTCGCCCTTCACGCGGCAGGCGTACTCGGGGACCTCATCCATCGCAGCGTACCACTCCGCGAGCCGCGGCCATCGGCTGGCGTCGCGGGGCAGCAGCCCATCGTGCAAGCACGGCAGCTGCGCCGCGTAACGCTCGAGGAACGGCGCCCACGAGACGTCGGCCGCCGAGAGCTCGCGGCCGACGAAGAAGGGCCCCTCGTCGTGCTGCGCCAAGAGCTTCTCGGTCGCATCGAGCGCCTTCTCAAAGTCCGATCGCGAGAGTGGGCCGCTATAGCTGAAGAGGTAAGCGGCACGGGAGGAGGGCCGCGCGTTGGACGGGAAGGATTGGCGGAAGGCGCTGATCATCTGTGCGACGCTCGACATCGAGGCGCCTTCTGGCGGGTACAGCGGGCGGCTGGCCGGGTATTCGGCGTCGAGCGCCTTGACGATGTCCATCGACTCGCCCTGCGTCCGACCGTCGGCCCACTGGATCTGCGGCGTCTGCCCGCGGTACCAGTCCGGCCGCCCGCCGCCCATGTTGTCGATGAGAACGGTCTTGTAGGCGAGGCCCTTCAGCTCCAGCGCGAGCCACACCTTCTCCGAATACGGACACCATCCATGCCGCTCGCGGAACAGCGTCAGCCCAGATGGACTCGCGGGACACGGAGCCAGCACCGGGTCGAGCAGTGTCGGCTGTTCGGCGGCGAGGCTGGGCAGGCGAGACGCCAAACTGTCCCATGACGAGGCAGTACAGCTCATGTGGATCGGACGGTCGCAGCCAGCACATGTCGGACGCACTCGAAAAGGCGCCACGGCAGCTATGGCCGCGAGCCAGCAGCATGCTTGAAGCAGATAAACCGTCATCGAGCGAGAGAGGGTTCGGCTCCTTGTGCCGCATGGGCAGGCTGTCCGGTTCTTCACGTAAACTTTCTACCTACCTACCTACGTAAACGCACAACCCCGGGCCCGATATCGCACAGAGTCACGCAACACGGCGGTTCTTCACCATCGTATCTATTTATGTTGAAGTAATGCGATTGTCAGGCGAAAGAAAGGCGAGCGCTGGCGAAGAGCTGAACAGTGTTGCTAGTGTTAACAGTAACAACAGAACAACAGTGGGGCTCCCCAACAACAGTAGCTAACGGTAGGCCAGCCAGCTGAACAACAATAAGGAAGGCCTGGCAGTGACCCACGACGATCTCCAGCGTCCAGTGCGGGTAATACCCGAAAATACCCGGAAAAATCCAGGTATTTTCGGGTTTTACCCGGGTTTTTTGGCATTTTCTGCTTGCTGACCACTGAACAACAGTAACAACAGTAACAAACAGTAACAGCTTGGGCTGGGGAGAACACTTGAACAACGTTGAGGATTTTCAGCCAACAATAGTGCAACTGTTAGGCCCAAAGTTAACGTTTGACAGCTCTAGCCTTGAGGGAGTCGCGGAGGAGGAGGGATAACGCAGGCAACGCAGGGACGGGCCAACAGCCAGTGGGACGAACGAGGGCCGCGACGGCGGCTCAAGCGGGAGGGAGCGGAGACGGTGGGCAGCGAGCGAAGTGGGTGAGACTGATGATGCCGCTCCTTCGACTTAGGGAGCGGTTCAGCTGCTGGGCGGGCTTCAGGCTGGTGCTCACACGAAAAGGAATCGACGCGATGTGCAAAGCATACAAGAAGGGGAGAAGGAAGAGGAGAGACGCCGGTGGTGACGAAGCAGAAACTAGCGCAGAAGAGAGCAGGGCAGACCCGGGGACTGGGGAGCCGGAGCAGACGGCATCGGCCGCCGAGGAAACGTTGGGAAGAGGCACGAGGAGGGCGGCGACCTCGACCGACTACCTCATGTATCGGAGTTATGGTCCTGATACGACCTGTGAACGTGAAGAGAGTGGTACCAGCACTGTCGATCGTTACGGCACGCAAGGGGGGCCTCCCGGACGTATGATCCTAGCCCAATAAGTTCCACGGAGCAGATTTGGATTTTTGACAGAATTAATGCACTGCCCCCGCACGATACTAACTATCGTAGTTTTGGTCCCGGTGCCCTTCACGGCACCACACCGCCGCTTGAAGGCCCGAGATTAGCCTAGCAGTGAGTGGGCATCGCCTGCCGGTCGGCTGGGCACGAGCCAAGCACTTGGGTGGCCGTCGACCGAGTCCGAGCGGCGCCTGAGGTGGGTGCCACGGCGTCCGCACGAAGGCGTGGCGGGGTGAGGAGCCAGGGGTGGTGAACACCTCCCCGACGGGCGCGCGGCGCGCCGGATGGTCCGCCGAGGCCGCCGCCGCCCCGGCGGCGGCGATGGGGGCGGCGGGGCCGACCCGGCCGGCGTTTGTCGGCTCCACCTACAGAGAAGCAGCCTCTGTGGGTCGACGATACTAACTCGGTAGTAACGCGGAGCGGTGCTGTGCGGCGCCGAGTCGTGCGCGAGGCGACCTCCTGAGGCTACCTGAGCTGGCAATGGATGCCACCAGGACGCACGGCTAGCAGGAGCCAGTCAGGCATGCCCTGCTGTGGAGCAGAGCCAGCTGGCGCACCGGCGATACTAACTCAGCGCGCCGCGAGAGGCGAATCTGGGCGACTTTGGAGGCGCAGTTCTCGAGCTTGCCGTCGACGATTGATGTCGGGTAAATTGTCACTGCCGTCCGGGAAGGTCTTCTCTCAACAGGCCGAGCGCCGTGGCCTGGCTCGGCTCGCCGCGAACGCCGCGAATTTATCAGGACCAAAACTCACGAGACCTCGATACTAACAAAAACTACGATACATGAGGTATGGAGGACCCGTCGCCAAACGACGCAGGGCAGAAGACGGTGAGGCGGAGCAGACGCGCAGGGCGAGACGAGGGAGGGAGCAGGACTTTGCGGAGATCAGCAGGAGGATGTACGAAGAGATTAGGAGCAGCAGGGACCCGAGGGACCATGTGGAAGACGGCTAGTGCTAGTCCCCCATCGGGAGGACGACCCCGGCTAGTCGCCGACCACACCCACAAAGAACCCTGCACAGAGATCGCAAGGGCGGGGACCTGTTCTTCCTTCTTACCCACCTCGTCACAGTAAGCCTTTCCTCTGTCGATCTTGCCCTCATGGCCGCGCATCCCCTCCCGCCCCCCCCCCCGGGCATTCCACTTTTCGAGAAAGCTTGTGGGGGGCGAGGATCCTGAGCCCATTCTTCGTAGGTTCTGGACGCCATGAAGTTATACACAGCGGGGTTGCCCTGCGCCCGCGGGAGGCTCCCGTGCCTGAGACCCTCCGGGACCCAGAACCCGATGAAGCTCAGGATTCTTTCGGAATAGAGCGACTCATTGTGCGCGAGGCGGATGCACTCTCCGGCGTCGATCCTGGCGGCGTAGTGACTCAGTTGGCGGCGCCCCCCAGAATCTGTGCCCTCGAAGCTGAGCTCGAAGGGCGGCGCGTCGGTGCCCTCGCTGCTGACCTCCACGGGCGGCGCGTCAGTGCCCTTGAAGCGTGAGTCAGGAAGTGGCGCGGCGACGTCGATGTCCTCGCCGATTGCGGGGGTCTCGTCGGGGACAAGGGCCCAGCTCAGCGCAAGGAGGGCCGCCATGCGGTGCAACGCCGGGTGAAATTGCACTTCGAAGTTTTAAATTTGGGTTCCTTCAATGGGGGAGAACGCGGGAATGAAAAGTGATTTCGGCAATGGCCCCGAGGTCTCTTGAGCACTTGAGCACTGGATAGGGCCGATTCCGCGTGGTACGGGACCCCTCGATCGTCTCGCCCTCCCTCACTGGTGTGTTCATCGGGGGGGGTCATAACAAACACGGTACAGGATCGAGGTGCAGAAGCCGTCGCCAGTGTCGTCCCCTCTCTCCCCGACGGCGATGGCGGTGTGACCGATCGAGCTACAAGAGGAGCTTGGTCAGCAGGATCCGGGACAGGTCTGACGCTTCTCGGAACCTCCTAGGCGCGAGCGGCCTCTCCCACGTCTTTGACTACGAGGCGGCGGAGGGAGGCTCGCCCTTGCACGACGCGGTCGGCTTTGGCGCGACGGCGGCGGCCGCCGCTCTGCTCGCCGCGGGGGCGGAGGCCGGTGCGGCCGACGCCACCGGCATCACGCCTCTGCACCTCGCGGCAGGCCGGGGCATGCTCGGTGCGGCGCGTGCGTGCCTCGCGGCGGGCGCGGAGGTGGAGGCCGCCGACGCGTCTGGCGCGACGCCGTTGCACGTTGCGGCGTGGAAGGGAGAGGCGGCCGCGGTCTAGATGCTGCTCGGCGCACTTCTGGGACACGTCCACGACACGTGCTTAGACATGTCCCAGGCGGCGGCCGTCCGGCTGCTGCTCGTCGCCGGCGCGGAGGCGGGCGCGGCCACGCTTCGCGGCATCACCCCGCTGCACCTCGCCGCCATGCACGGCCACCTCGAGGCGTGCCGAGCCGAGCGCCTGTCCGGGACACGTCCCCGACCTGTTGTGGATACGTCCCATAGGCGCCGCTCGCCGCGCTGACCGACCGCGGCGCCACCCCGCTGCATTTTGCGTCGATGCACGGCCGGCGGCGGGTCGCGCAGCTCCTCCTGTCCTCCGGCTCTTGGGTGGACGCCGGCGACCGAGGCGTTCTTTCGCTGACCCGCCGCGTCATCTCGGGTGATCTGTGGGGCGACGTCGAGCGACCTCGGGTGATTCATCACCAGGCGGAGCGTCGGCCCTCCACCATGCCGCCGCCGGGGGCCACGCCGGCGCGGCTCTGGCTTGCCTCGAGGCGGCCGCGGCATGCCGTCAGAACCTTCTCGGAACCTTCTCGGAACTCTCTCGGAACTTGCCTGCAGGCGGGCGCCGCCGTCGGCGCGACTGACGGCGCTGGCGCGACGCCGCTCCACCACGCCGCGCTGGCGGGCAGCGCAGACGTGGTGAGGGTACTGCTGGCGGCGGGCGCGTCCGCGAGCCAAGGTCCGGGCGGAGCCACCCCGCGGGAGATTGCTCTCGCGCGGGGCCACGCCGAGGTGGCGTCGATCCTCGAGCGGGCTGGTGGTGGCGGTTGGGGTGCCTCGTTGGCGGCGCGGGTTTTGCTGGCGATTGGGGCGGGCGTGGTCGCTTGCGCTTGCGTGGGATGGGCGTCGCTCAGATCAGCTCCACGCCGCTCGAGCCGGAAGGGCCCGCAAGACGCTGGCACTACGCGGGCGTCTAGGCCGCGGAAGATCGCTGTAGACCGTGCGCGCAAAGCAGAGTAATGCGTCGAGTGAAAACATAGGGCACTTGGAGTGCGATTGGTAACCTCACATCCAGGGCCGGGGAGCTAAGAAGCGCAGCCAGGGCCGGATGCTCGGGGACGGGCTCTACGAGCAAGAACGCGGTTTGTTATACGATTTGTGATAGTCCGCGTTTTCTTTTCCCGCCTCGATGGTGCCCCAGACTTCTGCGCCGCCGCCGAGCGATGCCGCGCCGCCGCCCGGCTCCGAGACTTTGGACATGGGCGGCTGGCAGGTCGTCGTCGCCGATGGGCACGCGGTGCTGCCTGAAGGCATGACGCACCTGCCGGATGAGGCGTTCTTCGACCGTACCTCTCTCGTCTCGGTCGCCTTTCCGCGCAGCCTCACCTTCATCGGCAACCGGGCCTTTTACAACTGTTCCTCCCTCATCTCCATCGACCTCCCCGCCAGCCTCGCCTCCATCGGCGAGGGCGCCTTCTGCGGCTGCTCCGCCCTCTCCTCCGTCACCCTCCCTGTCGGCCTCACCTCCATCGGCACCCGCGCCTTCGAATACTGCTCCTCTCTCGTCTACATCGACCTACCCCCCGCCCTCACCTCCATCGGCAGCCGCGCCTTCGCCGGCTGCTCCTCCCTCGCCGCCATCAATCTGCCCGCCGGCCTCACCTCGATCGGCAGCCGCGCCTTCTCCAGCTGCTCCGCCCTCTCCTCCGTCACCTTCCCTGCCACCCTCGTCTCTGTCGGCAACAGCGCCTTCGAAGGCTGCTCCTCGCTCGTCTCCATCGACCTCCCTGCCAGCCTCACCTCCATTGGCCACCGCGCCTTCGAGTGCTGCTGCACCCTCGCCAACGTCGCCCTCCCCGCCGGCCTCGTCTCGATCCGCAGTTACGCCTTCCACTGCTGCTCCTCCCTCTCCTCCGTCACCTTCCCTGCCGGCCTCACCTCCATCGGTATCGGCGCCTTCTGGGGCTGCTCCTCCCTCGGCTTCGTCACCCTCCCCGCCAGCCTCACCTCCATCGGCAGCGGCGCCTTCGACCGCTGCTCCGCCCTGTCCCGCGTCACTTTCCCCGCTGGCCTCACCTCCATCGGCATGAACGCCTTCGCCGGCTGCCCCTCCCTGACCCGCGTCACCGTGCCAGACACTGCCACCATCTCCACCGCCTTCCCTCCCGCCACCACTGTCCTCCGCCTCCCTCCCAAGAGGATGCGCGACCTGCAGCGCTGGTACGAGGCGGTGGACGGGGCTCTGGCCTACAAGCGCTGCCGCCCCCTCCTCTACGGCTGGCTAGAGCGGGCCCAGACCGGGCTCGGCTCTTACGGCCCGGACGGCGCGGCGCGCCAGCGCGACCTCGAGGAGTTCGAGGGCGATTTTGGGCTGCTTGTAGAGTGACAGGCGTGATTGAAATGTGACAGGCGTGATTGAAATCGCTGTGACTTATAGCTGAGTGGTGCGATAGTGCACGCTCCGAGGCGCGAGGGGTGGCTGGGACCGACCGGGTTTCTTTACTAGAGTTGTGCAGATCTCCGGGGTACCCGCGCGGCCCTGATTTTTTCTCTCCCCCTCGACTAAACTCACTGTACCGGAGAGGGTGCCCTCTGCTAACCAAATGTTGCGGGCTGGCGTGCTGGTACGTCTCGTGCTCCTGTTGTTTTGCTGCGCCGCCGTCGACTCACTGCGAGTGGCTGCGGCTGCGGCGCCAAGGCGGTCCGTGGCCAGAGCGTCAGATCAGGCGATGGCGACGGCGGTAGCGAAGGCGGCAGCAGCAACAGCCGAGAGGTGCACTCTCCACCGTCCCTGTATTTTCGCTGAGCTACCTGTTCCGGTTGCCTCTGTCACCGCTCTCACACCAACGTCCATCCCATATCTCCCAGCTCCCACTCTCGGTACTGCACGTACTGCACCGCAGGTCCGTCGCCGTCCCAGTCTTCCCCGAGGTGTGTGAGTACACTGGCATCACGCTGACGCGGTACATGTGCGAGATCGCACGCGCCAACCCGGGCCTGAATGACCTGGAGACGCTCATCTCGTCGATCCAGACGGCGTGCACAGCCGCCGGCTCACTCCCGCTCCCTGGCATGCACATGCACATGCGACCTGCTGGCGGGCCCCACAGGCGTGCAAGACCATCAACTCCCTCGTCACACGGGCGCACATCACGGGCATCGTGGGGTACGCCGACGGCGGCGGGTCGATCAACGTGCAGGGAGAGGAGCAGAAGACGCTCGACGTGCTCACCAACGACGTGCTCAAGAGGGCGCTCCGCTTCACGGGCAAGATGGGCGTGATCGCGTCTGAGGAGGAGGAGGCGCCCGTCGACGTACTCGAGGACGAGGGCGTTGGCCAGTACTCGGACGAGGCAGGTGACGCGATCATCGACGAGGCGGGCAGGTACACGGCTGTCTTTGATCCGCTCGACGGCTCTTCCAACGTGGACGCCGGCATTCCGACGGGCACCATCTTCGGCATCTTCGACATGAGCGCCGCCGAGTGCGTGCTGCCGGAGGTGCAGGAGGGGTGCGATGACCTGTACAGCCCGGCGGTGGAGGACGACTGCGAGGGAGTCCCGTCTCTGAAGGGCACGTCGGCGTATGAACTAGGCCTCTTTACACCCGCCTGTTTGTGCCCAGGAGCCGTCTCTGAGGAGTGCATGGCAGCGACACTGCAGCCGGGCTCGTCGCTCGTCGCGTCGGGCTACTGCCTCTACTCCTCCTCCACCTTCTTCGCCCTCACGCTCGGCGCCGGCGTGCAGATCTTCACGCTTGACCCGCACATCGGCGAGTTTGTGCTCACGCACCCGAACGTGGCGGTGCCGCAGCGAGGCGCGATCTACTCGCTCAACGAGGCGAACCGCAAGGCGTGGGACGCGCCGCTGCGGACGTACATCGAGGACCTGCAGGACGGCAACGGAGAGAGCGGCGAGCGCTACACCGCGAGGTACATTGGGTCGATGGTTGGCGACGTGCACCGGACGCTGCTCTACGGAGGCATCTTTGGCTACCCCGCAGACTCAAAGAATGCAAACGGCAAGCTTCGCCTGCTGTACGAGGCGGCGCCGATGGCATTCCTGGTCGAGCAGGCGGGGGGCCTCGCCCTGACCGGGAAGACACCTCCTAGACAGTCTTTAGACACTTCCTGGAACCTTCCTGCAGGCGGGAGGCCTCGCCTTGACCGGCAAGACGCGCATCATGGACCTGGTCCCGCAGAGCGTGCACCAGCGGGTGCCTGTGCTGCTCGGCTCTCCGGACGACGTGCGCGAGATGAGGAAGTACTACGACGCTTTCACGGGCTCCAAGGAGATGGAGGGGGAGGAGGCGCGCCGGATCCGCGAGCGCTGCTTCACGCGGCTGACGCCGGGCCAGCTGCTCGACACCACAATGGACAAGGTGTGAGAGGGATAGCCTGGCCCCAGCCCCACCCACTAGCGCGTGGAGGAGTGTACCTCTCCCCCTCCCACCTCACCCCACCCCACCATTCCCTTTCAAGGTGCCCGACTCGGTGGCCATTGACTCGACGGGCGACGGCACCGTCGACTCGGTGGTGCCGATCGACGAGGCCCCTCCCGGCTCGCTGCCGGACGACGTGGAGGTGTGAGACCAACTCCCTGTCGGGCCGCCCCGTGGGGGGGCCGCGCGGGTCCCAACGAGCGAGCCGGATTGTGCACACTGATCACTGTGTACGCGCGCGTGCATCGTGGAGAGTGGCCGCGCCTGTTTGAATCTACAACAAGTATGTAGTACACAGCAGTCTGCTCAAGCGTCCGGAATAGACAACACGTCGCGCACATCCGCGTGCCGCAGACACATGGCGGGGGCTCCGGACGGACATACTTGGGTATACGCACGCACGCTCGACAATCCTCAACCCACGTCACGCCCCGCGACAGTACGTGCTCGTCTACAGACGTTCATGCGACCCATCCCCACGCCCGGTGGGAGTACGATAATGGACTCCTCGGCGCGCCCGCTTCCTCCATTTCGAGCTGCCAGCCGAGGTCATACTAGCGCTTCTCCCCCACCCCCTCCTCAAGAGCACACACGTCGATCAGGGGGCCGGAGCGAGCACCTTGTCCACGACGTGGATCACGCCGTTGCCGGTCTGAACGTCGGCGGAGATCACGGTGGAAGCGCCGCCGAGGATACTGGGCGTGACGAGGACGGAGCCGGTCGAGCCGTCGACCGTGATGTCCTCCCCGTTCAGCGTGGTTTGGGCGGAGTTCGTGAGCGTCAGCGCGTCCGACGCCGGCACCACGGAACCGAGGGCGTGCTTCAGCAGGAGGTTGGTAAGGTCGGGCTCGTTCTCTGGCAGGAGCAGGTCGGTGACAGTCCCGGCTGGAAGGGCAGCAAAGGCGGCGTTGTTGGGGGCAAAGACGGTGAAGGTTCCGGTCACGTCCGAGAGCGCGACTTCCACCGTGGTAGACGCTTGGAACCGCGGCGCAGAGAGTGCCGACGGTGTCCGTGAGCGCGGCGTCGCAGGCTTTGCCGGCGATGGTGTCGGAGAGGAAAGAGCTCGTTGCGATCACCTTGTCCACGACGTGGATCACGCCGTTATCGGCCATGATGTCGGCGGTGACCACCTTGGCCTTTCCTCCGAGGATGGTGGGCGTGACGAGGACGTCGCCGGTGGAGCCATCGACGACGATCTTCTCCGCCGTGTTCTGGGTGGCTTGGACGGAGTTGACGAGCGTCACAGGGGGCGGGTGTGCGCGAGGGCGGGGCGAACACCTCCGATCACGCCGCGGCACTGCCCGGGCGCAAAGAGAATGCCTGCGGCGAGCTGCAGTACCGAGGCTCGGACTCGTGCTGGCGCCGCGCCGGCGCGCGAGCAGAAGGGGCCTCGGACTCCGTCTCGCACCGCGACGGCCCCCGGGTCGGGCGCCACAGCAGGCGGGTCCGGAGCGGCTTGAGGAGCGAATATTAGCGGCTTGAGGAGCGGCAAGCGCGCCGAGCCCGCGCCGGGCGGTGCCGGCGGGCGCGGCGGGCTGGGGCGTGTTCAGGGCGGGCGGCTGGGCGGGGGGCGGCGGGGCGGATCTTGTTGGCTTCTAAAATCTCTCTCAACAGAGGTTATTCCCACTTGCAGTCTAAGCAGTCTGTGAAGTCTTCAGACTGGGTCAGACTGGGTCAGACTGCATCAGACTGCTTCAGACTGCTCAGACTGGGGGAGCACAGTCTGACACAGTCCGCCGCAGTCTGGCGCAGTCTCGCGCAGTCTGACACGCGTCAGACTGGGTCAGACTGCACCAGACTGCTTCAGACTGCTTCAGACTTGCCTAGACGCCTAGACTGTGAATGACTCAAGTAAGTGGGAATAACCTTAACGAGGAGTGCGAGGCGGTACCCCGGGTGTGGCGCTTCCATCATTGGGATAGCTTCACATGCGCGATGAAGAGGGGGGAACGCGGGGAGAGGCGGGCGGGCGGAGCGGGCGGCCGGCTGGCGGCGCCCGCTGCCAGCCGCGAAATCTGAGGTCGCCCCGCCCGCCTGCGCCCCCGCGACGGCCCCGCAGCGGCCGGGCCGGCTGCCTTGGTGGGCGGGGCACCTCCCGCTGCCGCGTCGCGGCCGCGGACGCGCTCGGAAGCACACCGCGGGCCTCTGCTGCGCGCCTCGAAAGCGTCGCCGCTCTCGACGCGCGGAAGAGCCGGTCCCATGCGTCGGTCCGAGCATCACGCACCCCCGTGCTCGGTCGCAGGCACCTACTCGACGGTCGACGAGCTCGCCGGCATGTCGCCCGCGCGATACGTCACTCCTGATCCCGATGACGACGGCTACGACGAGGACGTGCCCGCCGACCCCCCACCCCCTGCCGCCGACGACGATGCCGCGCCGGACGACGAGCCTGTGGTCGGCGACGCCGATGGCGGCGGCGGCGGCGGCACGGGCAACGCGCGGCGCTGGGCCGAGGTCTTGCCCGACCCGTCGTGCTGCCCCGCGCTCCCGCTGCTTCTGCTCGCGCTCATCGGCACGGTCGCGTTTTCCTTCTCGCGTCCGCCCGCGGCGCTGCTGCAGTGTGGACCAGCCACTCCATTGACGCTGCTGCTGGCGCCTCGACCCGAGGCGCAGTCAAGGACAGGAGCAGCGGCGAGAGGCAGCGAAGAAGTGGCACGGACGCAGCGAGCGCGCAGAGGCAGAGCACGAGTAGTCGAGCAGGAGAGGCGGCCGCACGTGCGAGCACGAGCACTGGTGTGCGGGACCACGTTGGTCGCATGTCGAGCTCGGACCTGCGCTTCGGGCCTTCGGCTTGGACACAGTTTTGTAGAGAAACGCGAGACAAACCTCAAACGGCCGGGTGTACTCTGTACACCAAGTACCCCTTCAACCCCTGTCCCATTCGCCTCTCTGATATGCCAGGACAAGACGGGCGCGGAGCCCGCACTCGAAAGGGCTACTAGCCTCTCTCGACGCTACGGCTTTTCTTTTGACTTACGCCGCCCTCCCCCCCACACGTAGAGCTAAGAGCCTGGCCTCGGTGCTAAGCCGTGGCTCGCGCGACGCTGCCCCCGGACGTGTGAGGCGCAAGCGGCTGTTGAGGGAAAAGGTTTGCAACCTAACGGAGGCGAGTGTAGCGGTGCGCTGTGCCGGCGCCGGTGCTGATGTGACTACTCCAAGAGACCGTGTCGATTGAAGACTACTCATGGCAGAGTAAGAGAGTGTATGCGCGGGTGGACGCGGGCGAGAGGCGTGATGTGGGATGGCGCACCGGTCGCGGTGGTGCGGACGCCGCGCAGCCGTGAGGTGCTCTGAGTGGGGCCGCCGGGATAGAGCCTGCGCAGGCAGCAAAGGTGGGCGGCGTGAGCGCGCGCGGTGCCGCGCTCCATGGTGTGCGAGAGTGCCGGGCCGGGCGTGCCCCCATCAGCGACGGAAGCTCCAAGCCGGCACAGAAACTCCGACACGGGCGTCTGCTGGTTGCGCGTGTCGACGAGCGGGCCCGAGCGAGGCCGCATAGGAGGAAGAACGTCGGTCGTGCGAGCGCTGAGGACAAACGGACGGCTGAGTGAGCGACGGCAGTCATACCGGCAAGCGTTGGTGTGCGGCAGCGGTCGCTCGGGGGCGGAGGCCGGCGGCAGGGAGAGAATCGGGCGAGAGCACGGAGCACGCCTACCGTCGAGCGAGATCAGACATCTACATAGAGCACGTGCGGCCACGCCGAGCCACCGAGAGGCGCACCTGGCGCAACTCGAGCGTAAGTGACCGTGGCGGCAGCCGCTCGGCGCTCGAGGCGACCATCCGGCCGCCGGGCGTGCCTCTGGCGCCGACTCGGCGCCGTCGGCGACCCCGCGCGGGCCAGAGTCATGTCGAGCCGGGGCTGAGCCGGCGGTGGCGGACGCTTGGGTGCACGCTCCGGGAGGCTGCCGGGACGGATCGGCCTTTCGGGTGCCGATGCAGCGCCGCGGAGGCACTGTTCTGGTGAGAACACGCGCCACTGAGGCCGACTGAAGTTGCACGCCCAGGCCAGCCGGGGGGTGATCGGAGAAATCGAGACGATCCGCAGCAGCGAGCAGCAGCGGCAGCAGATGCAGCAGCCTGGCCTGCATAAAAAAATCATCGCGGCTCAGCGAATTGCCTCGAGAGCAACAACGACGCAGGTGGTGGGCAGAGCTGGCGAGGTCGAGTACCCGGCCGAGCCTGTGGAGCCTGCAAACGCCGAAAAAAGAGGAGGCGCGTGCTGCAGATGTGGCTGCCTCTTCGTCGCAAGCCTAATGTTGCTTGCCGGCCTGCCATACATTGAGGCCGGCCTCGAGCGCCCGCTCGTGCACGTCGCTGCTGTCGCAGGCTCAACTTTCTCTTTTCTCATTGCCCCGCCCCCGCCGAACCCGGCGCCACCACCGTCGCCGCTGCCACCGTCGCCGCCACCACCGTCGCCGCTGCCACCGTCGCCGCCGCCACCGTCGCCGCTGACACCGTCGCCTCTGCCGCCGTCGCCACTGCCGCTGCCGCCACCGCCGCGGCGGCCGTGGTCCGGCAGGGGGACCTTGCCGCCCCATCCTGACGTCACCGCCACCTCCTGGGTGCTGCACGAGCAGACCAACTGTTGGTGGGGCGGCCACGGCGCGGAGGAGGTGGACTCGCCGCGAGGCAGCGACGTGCCGGGCGTGTCCACACTTCCCGCGTGCAAGGTAGTGATTAATTATAATTAAGATTCATTATTATTAACGAATAGGCGTGTTCACACTTCCCGCGTGCAAGGCGGCGTGCGTGAGCGCGGCCTCATCGGGGCTGTCGTTTTGCGAGGGCATCGTGTGGGCGCCCCGTGCGGGGAAGTGCTACCGCAAGACGCGCATAAGCTTGGGGCTCTGCGATTTCGATCCGACCTACCACCTGCACCTCCGCTCGGACCTGCCGCCCGCGCCTCCTGCGAGCTCTCCGCCGCCTCCGGAGAATTATGCGCGTGTGATGCGCCGCTTCGAATTCGTCGGGAACGGAAGATGCCGATTCCCTTGGAACGCCCACACGTGCGGCCATGTGAAGCCTGTTTACCAGCCGTGCTTGGTGGAGCAGACCTGCACGTCGACCAAGGAGCAGTGCGCTGCCAAGTGCGCGGAGAATCGCGACTGCAAGGCGTTCGAGTTCAACACAAAGGCGCGCCGCGACCCCTTCCGAGCCCCCCTCTCCTTGTGATTCCGGCCTCCCGCCCCGCAATTCGCAGAACGGATGCTGGGGTGCGCCGTGCGAGCTACACGGTGCGAGAACATTTACGCACACCGGCGCAGCCTCCCCGTGTCCACAGTCCTCAACAAGACCTTGCGTCTAGGCGCCGTGCCAGACCACGTGCAGGTCGACGGGCCGTACACGTGCATGAAGAAGAAGTGATTCCGGCCGTCTATGGCTACACCTCGTGCCTGTCCGCTACGCGTGTCTGTCCTCGACCCAGCCCTAGCTTGGGATGTCCTTTTTTATTTGTTGTCCGCTGCGCGCGGATTTTAAAATCTTTCCTGGATTTGTTTGTTAAATTCTTTTTCCGGCGTTTGTTTTCTTTCTGGGGGTCAGTCGGTGCCTCGACGCTCTCCACTCTCCTTGAGCCGACTAGAGCCGTACTGACTTATATACCGTTATACCCTCTAAGTAGAATATACAGTACGTCAGCCAACGGTTTGGGTGGTGACTGGTGCACACCCCCCCGCGATGTCGCTCGTTCGTGTGCTCCGTGCTCGTAAGTCGTATTTTACTTTATACTCTACGACTTTATGTATCTAAAAGAGGGGACGGCTCGATTGGACGGAGGGTGGACGCGTCCAGGGGGGGGGGGTCGGGGGGTATAGTGATTAGTGATGCCTTCACGACCAAAAGCGTGACACTGACAGCTGCGGAGGGAATGGAGAGCGAGTCGTAACACATCGGAGCACTCTAGCATAGCGGAAGGGGAACTCGGCCTACTGGCGACGAGGAGGCTAGAGAAATTTGAGGTGTGTAGCATCTACACTGGGGAGATCTTCCGGACAGGAACGGCGCAGCCACCAGAGACAGTACCAGACGAACTATCACACGACACACGGCAGCAGGGGGGACGCAGCTGGATGGAAGTGACGACGAGAGCGGGGACGACTTTGACAGCGTCGCGGGTAACTTCGACTGGCCTGCAGCATCGAATGAGCCGAAACGAGGCACGAGGGCGACGCACTTCGTACGCTACGAGGAGATACAATTAGGCAAGGCAGCTGCGCAGGTGATGGTCCTGTTTGCAGAGAGGGGAGTCAAGGAAGGCCAAGAAATCACATGGTCATATGGGGACTCATACAGGAGCCACCGCAAGGAGATGGGATACAGGGCGGGGACCAGGGCGGATCCGAACGCAATAACACCCCAGCAAGCGCGGACGGCATTCGCGAGATACTGCAAAAAGATAGACGTGACGAAGGAGGAGCTAGCGTGGAACTTTGGATGCATATCGGCAAGCCAAAATAACGAGCAGGAGGCTGTCCTGGTGCGTGAGCTAATCCTGAGCAACAATAAGCGACTGTACCACGGAGCACAGAGCGCAGCAGACAGGACGGCGGCGACGGCGGACATGGCAGAGACGAGTGTGAAACAAAGGGCGGCGGGCATGGAGGGCGGTAGCGACGGGGATGGTGACGGTGACGGTGGCGAGGGAGAGGAAGGGGGTCCATTAACACCAGACAGCGAGAGGGGCAGGGAGGAAAGGGGGAGAGAGGAAGCCAACGCGACGTGCGCAGAGGATGAGGATATAAACTGGGACGACGCAGCGGAGGGGATAGGCGAGGGAATCGAGGGACCGGAGGGCTTTCGCGACAGCGACGATGACGACGAAGAAAGGGGAGGGGACGGAGGGGCGACACGCAGGAGGAGCGAAATCGCTAACGGCCCGAGCAGAGAGGGCGACGGCGGGGCACGAGGGAACAACGGAGACGCTACCGATGACGCGAACCGAGGCACGGACGCCGGCGGGGACGGGGAGGGCGACAGCGACGTCGAGGTTGACGCAACCGTATCGAGAGCGCCACCCAAAAAGGGGCGGACAGCCATGGAGGTCACCGAATGGAGGGCGAACGGCACGATGCGAAAAGGCAGGGCGAGGCGGATGGAGAAAGAAGTGCCGAGAAGGCCATGGTGGAGGGGAGGGACGGGAGGACGAAAGAAGGGCGAGGAGGACGAGCGGCCCGCACAGACCGCGAGCAGACAGCGCCTGCTGGCCATTTCGAGACATTCGCCAAGAACGCTAGCTACATGGGAGGGCTTCGTGAAGGATGGATTGAAAAACATTCGAACAAAGAAGAGGCGACGGGAGGAACCGGCGGAGGATGCAGTGACGTGACACACACACACACACACACACACACACACACACACACACACACACACACACACACACACACACACACACACACACACACACACACACACACACACACACACACACACACACACACACACACACACACCGCTCACCCACGCGCACTGGGCCTTGCACTTTGAATGCCGTGGGGCTCCTGTCGTCAGACGTGGAGACGCGAGGGTTGCCCCCCCTTGCCCCACCACCTCGTGTGTGTGGAGAAGTTTACCTTACCTTTTACCTTACATCACAACGCCCCTGCTAGCGACGCCTGGGCGGCGATGATGCCGCAGGCGGCGACCGCGGAGCACCGCAGGGATAAAACGGAATACACGTGGCGAGAGTCTGGAAAGTGGGGGCCAGTTCCAGTGGGATAGAGAAGCCTGCAGCGTGCAGGAGGAGACGTATACATGCGCCACGTGCATACGGTAGGTCTCAGTGCGACCACGGAAACACTGCGATGCGCAGGTTGGTGGAGCCAAACGGCACCAGCCGGATTTGCTCGAGCGGGCCACACGCCCCGCTCGGCAGAGCGTCGCAGTCGATCGGAGAGGCGGGGGGCTGCGCGGTGATGTTGGTGCCGCGCCAGTAGCCCCAGGTGGCGTTGCTGAGGAGCCGCGCCGGCACGCGCACGGAGAAGGGGTACTCCGACGTCGAGAAGGGGAGCGACTCGGCCCACCCCGGAGACGCGAGCGGCTCGAAGCGCAGCGCGCCGAGGTCCGAGAGGTCGAGCGCGAAAGACCACGCCTCCCGCGTGCTGATCTCGTAGTCGACGGCGAGCGGCCGGTACGGCAGGAGGCGCCGGTAGTCTCGCACCACCCGCCGCTGCTCCGCCGGCCGCAGAGAGAAGAGCAGCGGCCCGCGCCGGACGACCGCCGCGTCCGCCGGCGGCGAGGAAACGTTGCCGAGCACGCCCCAGCCGCGCTCGACGCGAATCGGCTGCGGTAGCCGCACGCGGAGGGTCGCGAGGCCGCTGCCGAGCGGGACCGCGTGCACCGTGCCGTTGGCCGCCCGCTGCCCGTTGACGCTCGCCCCTGCCGCCCAGCCCGGGATCCGGAGGTAGGCGGTGGTGGAGTGGCCCTGCGGGACGGAGACAGTGAGGACCGCCTCGCCGGCGAAGGGGTACGAGGTTTCGATGAGGAGCGTGGCGCCGCCGCCGACGGCATCCGGCAGCGTCGCGTTGAGCGGGAGAAACGACGCGACGGCGAACGCGTTGCCGTGGGTGAGGACGGCGGAGGCGACAAACTTTGGCCAGCCCTGCGGGAAGTTTGTAATGCAGCACGGGAAGTGCGACACGCCGTAAAAGTTGGCCGTCTGGTCCTCGCCGGAGGGGACGTCGTGCAGCGAGTGGCGATGCGCGCGGCAGCCTCCCGCGGGCCCATCTGCGGAGCCTGCGGAGCATCGTTCAGAGGTGCAGCAAAGTAGCCGAGAGACAGGCGAGAGGTGGCCGTGAGATGGGCGAGGTATCGCCGAGAGGTCGCCGACCGAAGTAGCCGATCTGAGAGAGGGAGCCGAGAGGGAGCCGAGAGGGAGCCGAGAGAGGGAGCCGAGAGGGAGGCCTGCGGTGCAGCCCCCTTCGACGTGGCGGTAGTGCAACGAGTGGCGGCGGCGCGACGGGTCCTGCTCTTCCGACAGCGGCGGGTGCGTGTCGCCGGCAAACACGGAGTTGGCTTGCTGCACATAGACGTGCGTCCACATGTCGTCCGTCAGCGCGGCGGGCAGCGCGTTGAAGGCGAGGGCCTCGAGCCTACGTGTGTGGATACGCCAGCCTCGGGGCGGGCAGACGGTATTGAGCCGTGTACTCAGAGCACCGCGTGAAGACGAGGGGTGCGAAGGCAGTGAATACAGCGGAATGCGGTCGAATGCCGCTGAATACGTGTCGTGTCCTCTCGAGCGCTGGTTGGGAGACAAGAGTACGTATTCAGCTGCTAGCGTCTCGAGCCGGTCAACGAGCGACGGGTCGCCGAGCACAGAGAAGGCCTGAGGAGGAGAGTAGGAGGAGTGTGGTTGAGTGCTGAGGATGCGACGAGCGACGGGTGGAGGCTGCTCGAGATGGGACTTCTCTGTGCCTCCGTGTGTGTGTGCGTGTCTGTGCCTCTGTGCCTCTTTCCCTGTGTGTCTGCGGGTCTGTGTGTGTGTGTGTGTGTGTGTGTGTGTGTGTGTGCGTGCGTAAGCGTGTGTGTGTGTGTGTGTGTGTGTGTGTGTGTGTGTGTGTGTGTGTGTGTGTGTGTGTGTGTGTGTGTGTGTGTGTGTGTGTGTGTGTGTGTGTGTGTGTGTGTGTGTGCGCGCCGCTCCGGTGCTCCCGGTGACCAGTACCAGTGGCCGGGCGGTGTTTCGCCCCCTCCCCCCCCCCTCCTCTGTGTGTAGACTGCCTGCTCGAGCGACGCCATCGCCTCGACTACAGCGCACGTCTCTGTTCCGCGGTGGGGCGCGCGGCCGCAGAACACCTGGTGAGAGCGCAGCATTCGGCTGAGTGTACGAGCGAACGAGCCGCGGGAGGCGCGGCCGCAAAGACACTGAGCTGTCTCTACTCAGCTGCTCCGCGTATACTCGCCTATGAAGCGTGAACAGCGCCACGAGTTTGAACAGCGTTCCAGTGAACGATCCCGGTGTCGAAACACCGCTCTCCGCTCCACGCTCTGCCTCGTCGGCGCAGAAGAGGGCGTTGGGCTGGCCCTGGTACTCGTCCAGCCGCGAGAGGACGAGCGTCATCGCCGCGTCCGCCTCGCCCTGCGCAGCGCCGAGCCGCCTGTCCATCGCCGGCCAGGCGAGAGCACCTAATGTGGGCTCAAGACAGTCAAAGACGTGTCGTGTCTGTCCGAGAGCTCGTCGGGGTACGCCGGTCTGTGTGATCTGTGAATCAGTGATGGCCGAGGGCTGAGGGCGGATTGATTCGCGGGTGGGTATGGGCCGGCCAGGCGAGAGCACCCTCCGCGTTGTTGACGCCGTGGTCGTGCGTGTTCCAGCCGGCGACGGGGCCTACGAGGAGGACTGGGGGGGAAGGTTCCGAGAAGGGTCGTGGGATGGCCGGCCGTGCTCGAGCCGGCGGCGGGGCCGGTGGGGAAGCGGACGGCGCTGGAGCCGTTGTAGTAGCCCCTCCAGTCCATGCCCTTGGCGCGGAAGAGGCGCGAGGCGCCCATCAGCAGCTTGGTCGTGCCGGCGGCGCCGAGAGGCAGCACCGCCCTCGCGCCTAGAAGGTTCCGAGAAGGTTCCGAGAAGGCTCGAGAAGGCGCCGAGAGGCAGCAACCCCTTCTCGCCGGCAAACTGCGGCACGACGTGGTCCACCACGTACAGGCAGACCTGCCACAGGGGAGGGGGGGAGGAGCTCCCGATGGAAGGGTGTCTGGCCAAGGCCCGGCGTTCAGAGCAGCCGCGGAGAACGCGTCCCACCGGCTCGAAATCTCGGTGCAGATGGCTACCATTCTCAGTCCAGCCGCAACCTGGACAAAGGTGGGCCAGCGCGTCGCTGCCCACTTGTAGACAGGGTCGGACTCCAGCAGCCTCGCCTCCGCGGTCAGGTGCGCCACCACGGCCGCCGCAACCGCCGGGCGCGAGGATGGCTCACCCTCCGAGTACATTAGCAGCGCACGGCACATGTTCAGCGGATCCCACAGGCCGTGGCCGTTCGTGTCGCCCGGCTCGTTCAGAAAGGGTCCGATCCAGCCGGCGCCAGGGCCGCTCTTGCTCCGATTCACGTGCCCGAGCACGTACTGCATCATCCGGTCAACGACGGGACCGAGCTGTGCCGCGGGGTCGAGGCGCGCCACGGCGGCCGGCCCTGCAGCCCGCAGCAGCATCAGCAGCGGCACGTTGCCGTTCGCCCAGTATGGCAGCCACTGGTCGGTGCCACCCTTTGGCGCAGCCGTGCCGCCGACCCAGACCGACTGGTTGACTGTGTCTGCGCCGGGAAACGTGCTGAGAGGCATGTAGCCCGAGAGCGAGTTGGCCTGGAGGAGGAGCTGCTCGAGCGCCCAGCCGCGCGGCGCCAGCAGGCCGAGCGGGAGTGGTGTCCATGCGGGAGGCACCGGCAGCGGAGGCTCAGCGCTGAGCGACAGGACCTGGTTGATGACGGCCAACATTATTTCAGCACCCGCCCCCTGGCGTCTTGGCCGTCTATGTACGTGCCGCCATCCCGTGTCGCGGAAGCGAGGCGGCAGTAGAACGAAATAGCACCTCACGGCTCGCCAGCAGCGGACACTCAAGAGGAGGAGATACACACGACGAGATACACCGTTTCATTGCCTCGTCGGGGCTGTGTATCTTCCTCCTGCGCTGTCTGGCCCCGCACAGCGACTTGCGAGGGCTCGTCTTCGATGGGTTCCACGGCAATGCCAGCGCTGTCGGTGCCGCCCTAGTCGCGCCAGCGCCCTCCCTCCCCCATAAATGGACTGGCTCTCGGGCCCAAGCCGTTCGCGAATGCGCCGTTCGCGCGCTCGACCCTTGGCGCGGCGGAGGCTCGCATTCACCACAGAGCGAGCCGCGTCGCCCAGTCCAATTAAGATAGCTACTTGACACCCTGGTGCACACTTGGAGCGCCTCCGCGCATCGCCCGTGTCGATCCCCATGTCAGACGGTAGCTCTGGAGTCCTGGCGCGCAGGGAGAAGGGCGAGGCACATTCCAGGCAGTGACCTCTCGCCCCTCTCCCGAGCCTGCGCAGGTGGCTGCTGCGCCCACAGACGGGCCAGTGCTGGGCACGCGCATCCTACAGTCGGAGGCTTCCGCCGACGCTCAGTACGTGATTGCCGCTCTGCTGCCCCCGCGCGACGCCGCAGCGCTGTCGGGCGTGAACAAGGACTACTACTTCATCGCGCGCAGTCCGCTAATTTGGGCGTCGCACGTGCAGCACATTCGCAAGACGAACCCGGAGGTGCAGGCTCCGTTGGAGGTGTACGATGACCCGTACGAGGAGTACAAGGGACTTCGTGCTGCGGGAGAGAGGCACTCGGCCGAGGAGCTGGTCTCGCACGTCAAGTCTTTCAAGGGGAAGGAGCTGCTGCTCTTACGAACCTTCGGCACCGTGACGGAGCCGGGGACGAAGAGTGCCACTTTCGAGCCAAACGGCCCGATCTCGCTGCCTGTCCCGGCACAGCTCGCGCTGGAGCTAGGTGCGTCATGTCTGCGGTTGCGTCATGAAGTTAGAAATAGTACTGGCTAGTCTATTCCTACTCATCACCACTCGCCAGAACACACCCCCACACTGCTTAGAAGGAAATGGTTTTGTGCAAGGTCCGTATGGGATATGGGGCACACTCTTCCTGTGTGACTGTGAGTACTGTGTGTAGTGTCCCTGCCGCGGTGTGCGCACTAATACCATTGAAGACGGTATCCAGCTACGTGGTATGTACTCGTACGTATGTTTTTTAAAGTGATTTCAGAACAAACGCCTTCGGCATTTTTTTCTCCGGCACCGCCACCGAGAGAGGCTCACAAGAGACAGCTGGCTGCCTCGCGCCGGGGACGAAATAGCACCTCGACCACCTCGACCTCGACCACCTCGACCACCCACCTCGACCCGCTCCCTGCGCGGCTCCCCTGAGGCTTCCGCGGGTGCCGCGAGCCTCGTGGGGTCTCGCCCTGATGGCGCGCCTCCTCCGCTGCCGATCTGGCCACTCGTCCGCTCGTGTAGTACCTAGGCGCGCTGGACATTGCTCGCTCGCCACTTCCTCCGCGACGCCCGCTCAGTCAGTCATTCTTTGTGCGGCTATCAGGGCACGACTCCGTGTTTAGCTAATGGGAGTTGTCTCTTGAATGTCGGGCTGGACTGTTCGCGTGCGAGTGTCGGTGATGTGCAGGGTCCTGGGAAGCAAAGCCAGCGCAGGCGTCTTTGCACGACACGCTGCAAACAAGTTGCCTCTGTCGTCGGGCAGTTGGGGGGGGTTTGGGGGGGGGGGGGGGATTGTGTCGTTAGCACTCCCCGTCGACTCGGCAAGCGCGACCTGCGTCTCTGGAGCGTGACTTCGTCCCCTTGTGTGCTGCGCATGCGTGTGCCGTGTAGCTCCATGCTTCAGCCGCGGCGCGCGGGACCAGGTACGATGCATTATACAACGATACTACTCTCTCTGCCATCGTTTAACACCCAGACTGCTTCATAGAAGTCACACTTATTCCCCTCCGATGTGAGGCGTGGTCTCAGCTCTCAGCCGGAGGAAGCGCCCCCACCGGTTCTGGTCCAGGAAATTACGACTGAACTTGTTGCGCACAGTCTGCAGGTCAGCTTGCGCCCTTGCTGGTGGAGGAGATGCAGCTCCTTGGCACAGTCACCGAGGTCAAGACGAGTGTAGCCGGTCGCTTCCTACACATCAATCAGCTGTGAGACGGAGAGGTTTTTATATATAAGGAAAATAGGTGCGATCACATTAAGAAGATGCGATGCGTGCCGTCAAAAGGGGGGGGGGGGGGGCGTGCTCCACAAGGAGCGGTTGCGTGTGTGCAGCGCGAGGTGGATTGCCGCAGCTGCCACCATGGATGGCTCAAATCTCTTAAGGCGCACATTCATCGAGAGACAATTTGCAGAGGTATAATGCGAGCAAATATGTGAGCCCGAGCCCACCAAGTTGTCGGCACGCACCTCGAATGTGGCTGAGCGATATCAGCGTCTAACCAATGCTGAAGGTCACACACCACGCTCCAATGATAGAGCAGGCGGCGATCGAAGGACGCGAAATATGCATCGGCTTCCAGGATCTGTCAACATGCTTCATGAGCATCGTAAAGGAGATACAATTTCAGCTCGAGGCGGCGCTAGGAGTAGAACCCGAGATCAGCGCGGTAATTAAGGCGCTACACACAAACGTTACAGGGCAATTTGAGACCGAACATGGGCTGTCGGACGCATTCCCCCTGGACCGAGGCACAGGCCAGGGCGATCCGAACGGAGGGTCGAGGGCGAAGATGCCGATAGCAATGGGACAATGGGCGGTGTCCAAGTACGCGAGAGGATTCGCGGTCACAAAAGGAGAAAACGGGCGGGTGCCACAGCTATATTACGCGGACGACGGCTCATTCATCACTGAGAGCACCGCGGACCTACAGGCGATATTCGACCTGAACTGGTACTTAATGAAGATGAGTGGCATGGCGGTCAAGGTCAAGGGAAAAGAAAAGACAGCGTACATGGCAGTACGATACGAGAATGGGATCGCACGAAACATAGAAGGCGCGCCAATGCGACTCCTAAGGCACTGCAGCAGACGGCGGCATCAATAATCAAAGTACGGGAAGGGAAGAGGAAGGGACTCGAGGCGGAGAGGAAGGAACGAGTAGCCGCGGAAACAGAACGCCTGAGAGAGGGACAGAAGGAAAGGAAGGAGAGGATACGAGAAATGGAGTGGGCGGCGAATGCGTGTATTTGCTGGCGACGGAGGCGACATCGACAACGTGATGCCGAGGAGAAGGAGAGGGAAGAGGCAGAGAGACGCCTCGAAGCGGGGAGAGGCAGAACGACGAGAGCGATGGGGATGACACTCAAAACGACCCACTGCGAGCTCGAAGGCGAAGGCCAGCGCAGGAAACGCGGTGATAGGAACGACGATGCGGCGAGCGCCGGAGGGAAGCGACGACAGCGAGGGGACGAGGACGGCGAGCAGAGAGGAGAACAGACGGCGAGCGGCGCACGCGAGGGCGACCACGCAGGAGAAAACAGACGGGACGAGGGGAAGGAAACGCGGCCCGCCAGGAAGCGAAGGCAGACGGCAAGATACGTCGCCGGACCAGCGACAGGAAGCGCAGGAAAACAAAAAGAACAAGACCAGGAGCATGGAGACGAGGGAAGGCGCGAGGCGCTCCGCCGACAAGCAGCAGAGGCGGCGGCGAAAGTAACGACGGCCATGCTAACGACGGGCGGCACGGTGGAAGGGGCGAAGGTAGGCCCCTCTAGCATAGCGGAAGGGGAACTCGGCCTACTGGCGACGAGGAGGCTAGAGAAATTTGAGGTGTGTAGCATCTACACTGGGGAGATCTTCCGGACAGGAACGGCGCAGCCACCAGAGACAGTACCAGACGAACTATCACGACACACGGCAGCAGGGGGGACGCAGCTGGATGGAAGTGACGACGAGAGCGGGGACGACTTTGACAGCGTCGCGGCGCGCCTTAACTTCGACTGGCCTGCAGCATCGAATGAGCCGAAACGAGGCACGAGGGCGACGCACTTCGTACGCTACGAGGAGATACAATTAGGCAAGGCAGCTGCGCAGGTGATGGTCCTGTTTGCAGAGAGGGGAGTCAAGGAAGGCCAAGAAATCACATGGTCATATGGGGACTCATACAGGAGCCACCGCAAGAAGATGGGATACAGGGCGGGGACCAAGGCGGATCCGAACGCAATAACACCCCAGCAAGCGCGGACGGCATTCGCGAGATACTGCAAAAAGATAGACGTGACGAAGGAGGAGCTAGCGTGGAACTTTGGATGCATATCGGCAAGCCAAAATAACGAGCAGGAGGCTGTCCTGGTGCGTGAGCTAATCCTGAGCAACAATAAGCGACTGTACCACGGAGCACAGAGCGCAGCAGACAGGACGGCGGCGACGGCGGACATGGCAGAGACGAGTGTGAAACAAAGGGCGGCGGACATGGAGGGCGGTAGCGACGGGGATGGAGACGGTGACGGTGGCGAGGGAGAGGAAGGGGGTCCATTAACACCAGACAGCGAGAGGGGCAGGGAGGAAAGGGGGAGAGAGGAAGCCAACGCGACGTGCGCAGAGGATGAGGATATAAACTGGGACGACGCAGCGGAGGGGATAGGCGAGGGAATCGAGGGACCGGAGGGCTTTCGCGACAGCGACGATGACGACGAAGAAAGGGGAGGGGACGGAGGGGCGACACGCAGGAGGAGCGAAATCGCTAACGGCCCGAGCAGAGAGGGCGACGGCGGGGCACGAGGGAACAACGGAGATGCTACCGATGACGCGAACCGAGGCACGGACGCCGGCGGGGACGGGGAGGGCGACAGCGACGTCGAGGTTAACGCAACCGTATCGAGAGCGCCACCCAAAAAGGGGCGGACAGCCATGGAGGTCACCGAATGGAGGGCGAACGGCACGATGCGAAAAGGCAGGGCGAGGCGGATGGAGAAAGAAGTGCCGAGAAGGCCATGGTGGAGGGGAGGGACGGGAGGACGAAAGAAGGGCGAGGAGGACGAGCGGCCCGCACAGACCGCGAGCAGACAGCGCCTGCTGGCCATTTCGAGACATTCGCCAAGAACGCTAGCTACATGGGAGGGCTTCGTGAAGGATGGATTGAAAAACATTCGAACAAAGAAGAGGCGACGGGAGGAACCGGCGGAGGATGCAGTGACGTGAGACACACACACACACACACACACACACACACACACACACACACACACACACACACACACACACACACACACACACACACACACACACACACACACACACACACACACACACACACACACACACACACCGCTCACCCACGCGCACTGGGCCTTGCACTTTGAATGCCGTGGGGCTCCTGTCGTCAGACGTGGAGACGCGAGGGTTGCCCCCCCTTGCCCCACCACCTCGTGTGTGTGGAGAAGTTTACCTTACCTTACCTTACCTGGTAGCTGGTCGGTACCGCGTGTAAACAAGAATATTTTTTCGACCCTCGAGTCTCGGCTCTCGCTCCACCCGTGAAACTCTCTGAAAGTAACTCACCTGCCAGTTCCTCAACGCTCAAGGCTAATTAGCGCTGCATCAGCGTCAGCCCGACTGGGTTGCTGCGGCTCCGCGCTCCGCCCACTCGGCCGGCTTGCAGTCTACCCGTTCGCCGAGGGCGTCGCACTGCAGCTCGTCGAGCGAGGCGAGGAAGCCCTCCCGCTCCCGCCGCTGCTCCGCCTTGATGCCCTTCTCGCGCTCGCGGCGCGAGCGCAGGAAGGCCTGCATCGCCGCCGACGGAGGCGCCTTCTTCCTTCGCCTCTTGCCGACCGAGTCCGAGGCGAGCTCGTCCGCCACGGCCGACGGCGCCGCGGCGGCGTCTCGCGGATGGCGTCCGCGGCGGCCACCTCCCGCTCCTCCGCGGAAATCGTCGCCGCCAGAGCCGCTCGCGCCTCCGCCTGCCGCGCCTGCAGCGCGTCGACGTCCGCCTGCAGCGAGGCCGCTCTGTCCTCGACGAGCCTGGCGAGCGGCTGAAGAAGAGTTTGCTAGGCAGTCACGGAGAAGTGCAAAGTCGCCACCTCCGTCGGGACAAAAGCGGCAATGGTACCGCCCTCGCGCCCGC